CATCACCATAACACCACCCCCACTCAAACCGGGCCGACCCCGGCCTCGCACCCACCACACCCAACAACTACACCAACGCTAGCCCCCCCGCGCCGCGCGCACCCCCCGCCCAATTCCCGCCCCAAACCGCCTACAGGCACAACCCTGCCCAACCACCCCCAGCCCCCCTCCACGGCCCCGACCATCACACCATACGCCCCCACCTCGCAACCAACCCCCCTAGCATCAACCCCCCCCCACCGTCCCCGCAGCCCCCACACCAGCCATCGCCTCAGACCCCCCCCGCAAGCCCCCTAAGCCCGGCACCCCCCGATCACCACGCCAAATCCCACAGGGTCAACCCCCCACAACCTCCACCACACCACCACCAAACCATAAACCACCAACACGACCACGCCCCACACCGGAGATACAACCCCCCCCCCACAAACCAACCCAAAAGACCTTTTTTTTAACTAGCACAATGAAATGTTTCTTCTCCTGAAACTGTACGAAAAGTTGATGCGAAAGTCCGTTATCATGGCCGCAAAAACCTAGGTCCTATGCCCTACATTTCCGAGACAAATAGAAATAAAAGAATTGCTTTTGCCAAAACATTTTAAACTCTTCCTCAGGACTCTGGAACAATGTATTTGCCAATGAAAAGTAAATTTACAATATTTAAATTTTTAATGGCACCCTATTGTATGGAGCAAACCAGAACAGAACTTAATCTGAGAAATTTAAATTCCAATGTCACACATGGAGTTGGCGGTGTGATGGTAATGGGGGTGTATGTCGTGTCGTAAGGAGTTGGGAAATTTTCCCATTAATTGTTAAAATTCTTGATAAGTATGTTTATATATGGATATTCGAAGAAAAATCTACGAGACCGTGCCTCGAAATTTTAAACCTTCTAAGTACCTTTAATTTTCCACCAAGACAAAGAAAGACCGAACTACGCTAAAAAATGGTGAAGGAATATCTCCTCTAACACACTCCCAGACATTGCGTACTCCTCCACAGTCCCAGACCCCTCATCCAATCGAACATTTGTGGCAAAATTGGAAAACGAATCGAAAACCCCAATATTACGTCACGAAATAACCTAATTAGAAAATTGCCGGAAAATGGGCGAAATTTTACGTCGGATGACAGCTGAAAACTCGTTTCAAGGGCAATTCCAGACGTCTGCAACGCTGTTTTGAAGAATCATGATATCCTACAAAGTATTGAAGTAATGTAAAAACTTATTTTTCTTTTTGTTTTAAATGTACGCAGACTTATTGGAGTGAATTTCGACTTTTTTCTTACAAAATATATTTTTTGAAAATATGTAAAACGTAGTACCTGATATTACTTACTTTTTTATTTACGCTTACATTTTAGCTACAGAAGAAAAAAAAAATGCAATGATTAAAATACATTTTTCTATGCTTTAAGTGTTTTTTAAATTTTAAATTTAGTCTGTACGCAAACTTTTGTGACTAACTGTATGTAAGTGCTACGATATGTGTATGTTACTGTATTAATTAAGTATATGTATATGAATGGCCAATTGTAGCGTACGCTGTGTAACATAAAACCAGTGTTCCACTAGACAGTTGCGGGTTCCGGATGATATCCGATTTGTCATAAAAAGCCGTCCGGGTGTCCGGCCCTGCATTCACCTCTTCCCTGGATATCGATCGAGTTATTGACTAAATCTACGCCAAACACAAAGTTGTTGCTTTGCTAATTTTATGTTTCACTTTGGCATGTTCCTCTTCCGTTCTAAAATGGACATTTTGATGTGTTTGAATCTGAAGAGTTTTATTTATGGAATGCTCTTATAGCTCTTATAGCCATGAAGTTACATTTAATCCTTTTAAGTCTTAATTTATTCACCAGCTGTATCATGGATTCGGATTCACTCACCAGTTGTATCATTTCGAATTACGTTGTAGGATTCAAAAGTTCCCGGATTGCAGTCTATAACGTAAAAGTTTTTGCAGTAGTTTGACTACGAGAACTTTTTTGTGTTACTACGTTCTCCCCTTTTTCTAGAAGTGGTTTGTCCCAAATATATAGTTTAAATCCCAAATATTTCGTTTGTATATCGTTTAATTACTCCCGGAGTATTTTTTATACTGTAGCAAATGTTTAATACTGTAAAGGCCCTTATTTTCGTGAAAATGAATATATCGGTGACTTCGCGAGTTGAAAATTTCGCGAATTTTATATGAACAGAACCGAAAGTCGAAAAATTTCAAAAGTACCTAAGTAGAGAAAGTTGAAAAATTCCAAAAGTACTCTTTGCATAAAGATTTAAAAAATTCTTGTACCTTATTATTTTAGATTTCGGTACCTTATTACGACAAGCGCGAAACCTTCTCTCGGGCTAGTTCCAGAACAACTGGTATAAGCATGCGACGTTTTAGGCACACCAAATCTCTTTGTAACTAATAGAGAAGAGGGATATTATTCTAGTTTTGCGCCCGCTCCTGCCAGGATAGCTCCACTTTGGACTTACTGTAAATGGCGTTCAGCGTTTGCTCAGCTGGTTATGTGGGTAGCTAAGAGCTTCAGTCTAGAGGAAAAAGAACTGGACTGCGAGATTACTCTAAACGCATTCACGCTTCTTGGCTTGTCGCGTTTTACGGTATTGAGCCAAACATGAGATATTTTGAATGCTTCAAAAGCTGGTATAAATAGTACTCTACTCTGTATGCCTTCTGTAATTTATGTTTTTATTCGAGAATATAGTTGTATATATTCAAAAATATTATAAGAAGAAGTTGTCAATAACAAGCTTGTACGTACAATAATATTGCATTTTGATAAGTGAAAATTTCTTATTTTTTATATTATTGAGAGAAAAAAAAAAAAAAAAAAAAAAAAGGATTTCGCGAGGCTTAAATTTTCGCGATTACGACGGGCTCGCGAAAATCGCGAAAATTAAAGCCTCGCGAAAATAAGGGCCTTTACAGTAATTGAATTAACAGAATCAACAGATTCTCAAGGTGATTTTCAAAGTTTGGGTTTACATCACAACTTCTTGTTTAATTAAGACACAATAATAGTTGTTGTTTAACTTCTGAATTAGTAACTTCTTGTTTGTCGTAAAAAATTAAGACTTTTATTTTTCTATATAATTATATACACTTAATTAAAATTAAACTGCTGGCCATTAAAATTACAATACCAAGAAGGAATAATCTGACGAACATCAAAATCACTTGAAAGGAAGAAGAGGTTGGGATATGCAAATTATTAATTAGTATTTCAACGCACTTAGACGACGCAGGAAGGAGAAACGACATCTAACACACTGCATATAAGAAATGTTGTGTAGTGAATTTCTCATTCGGAAAGCGTTTTGTAAGGTCAGAGTTTACTCAGAACATCGTGTTATGCCTCGAATAATAAGAAGAAATGCTTACCAGCAAATGTTAGAATTCGATAGAGGCATTATTGTTGCCTATCGAGAGTGTGGGTTATCGTTCCGCGATATCACCCGTCACACTGGTCGACATCCAACCACTGTCATGCGAATATGGAATCAATGAGTTGCTGAGGTTCATACTGAGCGGCATGTATGATCTCAACGCCCTTCCTGACTACGCCCCGAGAGGCGAAATCTTGTGAGGTCATCCACACACCAAAGTAAACACATAAACGGCCATTAGTCAGAAAATGGGCATGTTTGCAGCACGCCCAGTATGCGCTAATACGGTGCGTCGAAGGTAGTGGCAGCGTGAATATCAGCACAATGTCATACTTCGCTTCGTTGTTATGCACTATAGAGGGAGGCGACACCGTGAGCCGAACGAAAAGGCGAATACAGATTGGCCAATGTGTCTTTCAAACGTCCCAGTTCTGAGTGCATATTCGGATGCCGTATACTTCTAGAGCTCCGAGAGACTGCCATAGTAGCTGCTTCATTGCATAGGGACTAGTACCGCACCTATTGATGGTTGGGCCTTGGGTACACTCATCACATCCCTAGTTCAGTAGAGGGTATTTGACATAGATCGGTGCATTTAAATTACGTCCGTGGTTGACTGTCTTTCGAGAATGCCACGGTATTTTCCAATAAGATAATGCAAGACCGCATGTTGCACGTCGTGTTCTACCCTTCCTTGATACACAGAATATTTGATTGTTGCCCTGGCCTGCGCTGTTTCCAGTTCTGCGACTCATTGAAAACATCTGATCATAGGTTGCTGGGAGACTGGCTCGCCATCCCTCTCCAGCTAATACGATTGATGACGTGTGGCATGGACTTGAAGCAGCATGGAATGAGTTCCATGCTGCTTTTAATGCCCGTTTCTGTCATCGAAGCCCAGTTCAACTGAATGCCGAACCGGATAAGGGCCGCTTTAGCTACCAGGGCTGGTAGCTGTTTCTACTGATTTCGCACCCCTGTAAACCCCAAAACTGCTTACAAATTTAATCATTTTGTCTTCATATCATACTGTTTACGTATAATAAATATCTTTTCCTTCATGGTGTTGCAATTTTAATGGCCAGCAGCGTATTTATTAATTTGCATTTATGAATTAATTGCATTAGTTAACTAATAATAGTTATACATACCAATAATACAAGTTTATTAACTATTAACCCAATATAACATTATTTTCTTCTAAATCTGTCCTTTCTCTTTCTTTTCTTGAGAAAGATGCATGTGGGTCGATATAAATCACAACTAGCGTATACATGGGGACTGCGCTTCTAAAAGGTTTGAAAAGCGAAGAATTAAATCAGGCAAAGGAAAAGTAGTTTCCAATATTTTCTTTCGAAATTTGTGACTTGTTCTCAAATTTTATCAATAAAATATTTGATTATCACTAACTATTATATACTTTTCTTGCATCTAAACAGAAAATCACTGCATGTAAAAGAATTTAGAACATGTTAAAGTTTTGTTTACTTTATTTTCCTTAACTTCTGTTTTAAATTTATGTTATTTAAATTCGAGCACTTTTAAACGTACTTTGGAGATATCGCATAATTATAAATGCAAACTTTTTCAGATAACGAATTTCGAGATACACAGAACAGTTGCTTTTCTTCTCACGAACTAAATGATAAGATTTCAAGCTGCAGATTTTGTTAAATCCAGGATATGTTGGCAGAAAGCAAGGATTCTCTTCTGTTCAAAGCATAACTTCTCGTACATGTCCTTGGCATAAAGTACGTATTTTTTTCTAATTTTTTATTGATTTTAAAATTATTTTTATTTTTCACGTGTTGAACGTTACTAATGTATTTTCAAAATTTTATTAAATTAATCAAAATTCCAAACTGTTAAATGGTTGCGTTTTGAATTTCACCATCTGTCTGTGATTTTCATTTCTAGCATTCCATACTAAACTGCTGAAGCTTAAATGTGATTTTTGTTTAAAAGTTTAAATTCAGTTGTATTAAAACAATCTTTGCTTAACAGCAGTTTACTTTTAAATGACTTCAAATGATATGCTTCTTTTCCTTTTTAAATGATATCGTTCAACCCTTTCTTAATCGTTTTAAACAACCTTTCAGTTGATACCTCATTTTCTAAATGTAACGGTTAGTATGATGCTGTTCCTTCTAAAAGACGTGTCATATTTAACATATGAATTTCCTTCTGGTACTCTTTCGCTCTGGTTCTGGTGGGTATTTGTAAAAATAACAAGAAAGAATAATACTCAGTTTTGTATTATAAAAGATTTGCATTCTGGCATGGTTAGATAAAAGTATTAAAACAGTGTTTAACTTTAAACTGGTTTCTTGATTAATCGAAGTTGAAGTCTCTGGTCGCAAACAAGTACGATACCGTATTTATTTTTATTATTATTATTATTTTTACTGTGTTGTAGGTAAAATAGTCAAATGAATTTTGGAATATTTTTTGTAATTGCAATGCGTAGCTACTTAGTCTGAAATTTTCATTCATCTTGCTTAATTTTTGCATAGTTTTAAAATCGCATCCAATCCACTTTTAAAACACGTATATCAATACCTCGCATAGTCCGGGCATTCGGTCCCGCAAATATGTCGAAGAGCTTGAAACTGGATTAATGTAAGAGCTAATTACATGCATAAAATGATAACTGATTCCAAAATCAAACTATGCCTGTTTTAGAATAAATAATACAAGATTAATAATTTCAAATGTCTTCATTAGAAATTATTTTTTTAAATATATGTTTTTCATAAGTATTTTTACCACTTTTCAAGCTATATACTTCTGAAAAGTAAGAGAGGTAGCATGTTTGGTCCAAAATTCAATAATAATTTGTCAGAGAATAAACACGAATTAGGATCCCCACTACATGTTTATACTATTTTTACTATGATGTCTAAGTGTCTACGTGTATGCATGCATGGGCGTGACGATTTTTTTCGTCCATGATACTGCGTTTATATGAAACTCTGATTCGATTTCCCTTGAAATCGCATAATCGATGGTAATACTTTAAACCCATAACAGTTTTTAAGGGACAACCGAAAGTTGTACATTACTTGAAGCCTATTACGATTTTCTGTTTTGGAGCAATCAGCGTAATATATTGTTGCAGTTGAACTAGTACTGTACCTAAATATCGCGAGGAAACACGTCCAGATCAAAATGAATTTATATTTGTTGACAGCTTAGAAATAACACAGAAGAAAATTAAAATATGGTATTCGTTCCAAAGTGCTTATTTTAAATATCTGCTTGTAACGAAAGTTTTCCGCCAAAACACATTCAAGTTAGGAAAAAAAAAAAAAAAAAAACATGAAAGCAGTATATTAAGTGCGGGTAGTAATCACCAGTCAAATCTATAATTTTCTATCAACTTTTTGATAGTTTTTCAAAGCCTTCAGCCCAGAAACTCGGTGGCCGCGAGTCCAAAAACAGATCAACCTCATGTCTGATGTCCTCTGCGGAATAGAAGATAACATCGGCAAGATCTAACTGCAGGTGTGAAAGAAAGTAGAAATCCGAAGGAGCAATGTCGGGGCTATATGGTATGTGTCGCAAAAGATATCTCATCCGAATGCATACAGAGTCCAGCCAGTGAATGCAGATACATGTTGTCTTGCATTTTCTTGATGAACCATTAAGTTTTTGCTCCGGAACTCAGTTCGACGTTTTCCTCGAAAGCAGCATCAACAAGGACTAGCATCTCCCTGTGCACCTTACTGTCAAGGGTTTTACCTTTTCCCAGGTACTCTTTGTCGATAATACCATAGCAATCCCACCTGAAACAAAGCATGATCTTTTTGTCAGACAAATTGCGCTTTGCGACGCTACCGACTGGCTCACCGGGCGCAGACCAATCCCTTTTTCGGCATGTAGTGTTGAAGTAAATCCCCCTTCGGTAAGTGAAGATCCGGTCCAGAATTTTATGCTTGCGTTGATTCGAGCAGATTAGTGCAGTCCCCAAACATGTCTGTCCTTATCTACTTGAATCAGCTCATGCGGCACCCAAAGACGTGGCACTAACGTCTAACTCCTTTGCAAGCTCTCAAATAGTTGCCTGCTGATCTTCTTTCACATTTTCTGGCAGACGAGCCTCATCAACATCAGTAGGCCGGCATTCAGCATTCTGCTTCTTGAATGCCCAGTTCTTGTTTCTGAACTTTCGATACCAAACCTTCACAGAGTCATATGATACAACATTAGTACTTAAAGCTGAACACATGATGTGGTGATGTTCTGTAGCTGACGTTTTGCAACAGAACTGGAAGTAAATGATGGTTCGAATCTGGTAGCGTGATAGTTCCATTTCAGACACCTTAATGATACTTTTTTTACAAATTTCATAACAGAGAGCTTTAAAACAAGTCTTTTCTTTCAAATGCCAAAAATCGTTTGACAAAATATGATTCAACATGCCAATGCGAACTGTTTGCGCAGACGATATTTGCGGTGGCGGGAAACTTTCGTTAAAACCCGATATATTACAAACACTTAATTTTCTTTGATTAAAAACCAATTAATCAATATGTTATTCTAATAAAAATATGATTTTTAATAAGGAAATAAATGAGCAAACTTTTGATTATATTAGTCTAAAAAGCCAGTTTTTACAAATGGCCAGTTATACCTAATGAAATATAATCCAGAATTTCGTATTACATTCTCTTTGCATTTATTAGAACAACATATTAGATTTTGTTTGCAAATGATCGACCGGAAATGATACTTTACCTAAAACTCGTTGCTAATTAAACATGCAGTTGGTGGGAGAGGACATGTCTTACCCACATAAGATTTCTTATTTTCTAAAAACTACCCTTTCGATGTTTGCGCATTTTCTTCTTCGGTTTTTCTCGTCATTCCTTTTTTTAGCCCAAAGGGCATAAGCCCAGAAGGGCTATTAATTTCGTTTTCGTATTTTGCGTCGATTCACTGTCTACGTTGATACACTTTTCAAACTGTTGCCCCCAACTATTACATCCCTGTATTATACTTAAAGAAATTAAATAATGAAGAATCTACATAAATGTATGTATGTTTCTCATATTGTGATAAAACAACGGTAGCTAGAGCCATCAAATTTTGAATAACGTAATCTTCCATAGAACATGGGCATGTGGAAGCCCATATTTGGAATTTGTTTTATTATCTATTTCATATTTGTCAGACATTCACAAATTTTTTATTACGAAACACAACTATTTCAAAGCGAGGAATGGCAACACTGTTCGAAAAAAAAATTTATCTCCAGCGCGCGAGACTGTGTATTGGAAATTCTAAAGATAGGCTCATTTTAAAATTATTTTGCGATATTGCGGTTGAATTCAATTTTATGGTTTAAATGTGAAGAACATGATATTTCATAAATAAAGGTAACACACAAAACGTTAAAAAACTCCCCTTTGGGCGTAATGTAAAATCTGAAAAACTTTCAGATTTTTTTGTAATAATTATTTAGCGCTTGACAAGTTTTTAAGGCTACGTTCAACATTAACATCAGCTTCCGGAATATGCTGTGACAGTGTTTCAACCATTCCAGTAGTTTTTATAGCTTTTCAACTGTTGATGCTCATGCAAGCACTACGACACGATCTTCGTTGTCTAAGTTGAATATCAGTTCTTCATAATCGCATTGTTTACCTATATTAATAAGTGTTTCATTATCTAGCTTGACTGGTATGCGATTTCATGCTTTTAATTACGTTAATGAAAGCTCGAAACAAGTTGCTGTAGAATTTCCAATATGTTATTAGAGACTTCAGCAAAGTTAGTTTCCAAATAAATGAAATCATTTGTACAACATGGTATGATATATTTCCCTACGGTCATCATATTACTTGCCGTTGACTCTGGCATGTTTATTTTATACTTTTGGTAACGTTTCTGGATTCTAGTTCTTCCAAATTCAGTTAAAAGTCCCACTTAAATCATTTATGCATTAAGATAGTTAATTTGGGTTATTAATTCCTTTTTGGAATTCATTTTTATTTTGCTGAATGAAAATGTATTTTATTTTATTCTATTTTTGAAATTTTCAAATTGTGAGTATAGTGAATAGATCGATCGAAGTAAGACTATGAGAGGTGTTGCTGTTGTTCGTTTTTCCGAGTTTCTAACACTCTTCGTCAAACATAAAAATAATGAAATAGCATGTTTAGGCTGCTTTACGATTAACTAATCTTGTCCTCATCGATGCAATTAGCTTGAAAACCCAAGGAAAATAGTAGTATTCACAACAGAAATGTACAACTCTAATACTTATTTTGAAACAAAAGGAGTAAGTTCATAGACAATGATGCAGCTTTCGAAGGAACGTAATTCCAGGACAGTAATGTATTTTTGATGGAGTCTAGTGTATGGACGAATCTAGAAGAAAATTTAGAAGGATCTATTCGACGAGTATTGCCTGTAAAACGAAAGGATTAAGCTGCATATTATGAACACATTTTTTGTCATTTGTAAAATATGATTTTTCTAAAATATGATTTATTTTAATTACTGGACACTAGACTTCCGTTTAACAAGGGAATAATTTAACAGAAATGTCTCCTTTAACTCTGTAGGCTAGAAATTAACAGAGATGAGAATTTAAAATTCAAAAATAATTACATAAAGATTAATATTTACAAAGATACTGAAGCATACATTGCAAACTCTCTAAAAACACTGGCGCAAATTTACTAAATGCGCGACTGACTGAGGCTAGCAAAATGGCTAAAAGAAATACTCCCGTCTCAGCTAGCCGGAACATCGGCTCCAGTGAAACAGTTTTCATCTTGGAAGCCTCCATTGGTAAGAGAAGGTGAAGCTCATTTCTTGGAAATGTTTCCCCTAGTCTTAAGGCCCGTCCACACGAGTACGCTCGAAACGTAGCTGACGAACGCGCTTTTACGTTACCAGCGTAAAAGCGTCCAAACGAGTACGCTTGCGAAGAGTGCGTTTAAACCAATAGAATTATTTTGGGCGCAAAAATCACGTGACGCTGTAATATAGCGTCAACAGAGCTGTATCTTATTACTTTCGCGTGCTCTTTCTGTTTGCGGCAAGTTGTCCGAATCAGATGATTTTTTTTAATAGCTGAAATTTTACTATTAAGTGCAATTATTAAGCAGAGGCCAAAACCGCAAAAAATGACAAGAATGGGTCCGAAAGATTTATTTATGTTCAAAGAGATTTTAGATTTTTTATTTTTTACTGCCTCGTTTATGAAAGGAATATCCGGAATTATTAAATTCCTACTATTATCTCTCACACTCTCTCCCTATATCTTGTTCAAATTTTCAGTACATAAAATGCTTTTTATTCATCAAGTTCAATACAATTTTTAAACTTGTAGTGAATGACACTTGATGTTAATACAGCTTTTTCACATATAAAAATTTTTAAAAATTTTTAATTTTAAAAAAATTCTGTTTGTATTTTTACTTATTAGTCCAAAGGGATTTGAATCCCGAAGGACTATTAGTTTCGTTTTGGCATTTTGCGTCGGACTCATAAATGTCGGTTCACTTTTCAAACTGTTGCCACAAATGTTAGAGTCCTGCATTATATTTGAAGAAATTAAATAATGAAAAATCTGCATAAATGTATGTATATTTCTCGTATTGTGATAAAACAACGGTACATAGAGTCATCGAATTTTGAATAACGTAATCCTCCAACGAATATGAGCATGTGGAAGGCCAAATTTGAAATTTGAAATTTGTTTTATGATCGATTTCCTATTTTTTAAAACTTTGACGAATTTTTGATTAACAAACTCAAGGATTTCAAAGCGAGCAATGGCAACGTTGTGCAGAAAAACATTTTTATCTCCAGCGCGTGAGTCTCTGTATCGGAAATTCTAAAGATATGCTTGTTTTAAAACTATTTTGCGATATTGCTGTTGCACTGGATCTTATGGTTTAAGTGCGAGGAACATGATATTTAATAAAGAAAGGTAACACACAAAATGTTAAAAAACGCCCCTTTGGACGTAATTTAAAATCTGAAACATTTCAGATTTTTTTTTTTTTTTTTATTTATTTGTATTTTTTAAATTTTTCTTTGTGGACCTAAGTAGGAATTGACTTGTAGGGTTTATATTTATTTTAACTAACATTTATTTTAAGTTTTAACTATCTTTCCTGTCAAGCCTTACTTTCCCCTGGAACTGCCAATGCCAGAATATGTAAATTTGAGTAGAACGCGCAAGCATTCAAATTATCAGCGGAAGTAGTATGATTTAAATAGAAGGAAACAAGTTCGGTGTGGGAGAGTTATTCTTACTTAGCGAACGCGGAGGTAGAAATCGAGAATTGAAGAACCCCGCGTTGCGGCCTATGTGCTTGGCGGGAAGTAGTTGCAATTGTTCCAGTGAGCTTCAAGTCTGCTGAATTAGCTGCGGTATTTGTAAAACGCGGTGAGTTAGTTATTTGAGAGAGCCTCGTAGTTAGAATATTGTCTTTACTTTCTTTTCAGGTTCTTATTTTTATTTGACTGCCTAGTGGGCACAGTCTGTAAGCGTCAAGAGGACGCCATTGTAATTTATTACGTTGAATAAAAAGGGACTTAAACCCTTTATAAGACTCTGTGGTTTATACAAGCTTTCACAGTCACCTCTTGGTTGCGTGCTAGTTAGAGGCGCGCAACGTTATAAACTTATTTTGTTTTTTTAATATTACTTGTTTTTTAATTACTTCAGGATGAGTATCGACCAGTTTGACAGACTTGCAGATTCTATATTATATGAAAATTAGGATTTATAAAATTGGTTTGGAATACAGTATATAAAGAGAATTAAATTACTTAATTCTCTTTATATACACCATCCACCATATAATAAAACCAACTTCATATTTTTTTAACTCCCCCTCGATTGGACTTTTGTTTTTCTTTTTATTTATTTTTGAATTTAGAATGAGGTTCAAACTTTGTACAGTTTATGAGAAATTATGTGCATGATAAAATATGCAATAAAGTAAAAATAAAGAGAATTTATAGATGATATATGATAAAGAGATGCAGATATATTATTATATAAGGATTTCTATTTGAAATGCTCATTTTTAAACTAAATTAAAAACAATAATAATAATGAATAAAATAAGAAATGAAAACAATAATAATAGGTAAAATAAGAATATAATGATTCATGATTAAATATAAGAAACACGTTTCAAAATGAGAAAAACTACTGTATTTATGTATTGGCTACGGGTGAGGTTCGAACTCGCAACCTTTCGCTCCGCAAAGCAGCGCGCTGACCACTCAGCTATTTGTGATAGCAGTGTTTGTTAAAAATAATGTAACAAGTAGAAGTCGCTGCAAAGGTAATTTAATTAATTTTCAATAAATGATTGCTGTATGGCACAAGTTGTAACTTTCCTCCAAAATTTCGTAATTGTATTTTATTGAATACTCTTTCACAGTCAACTGCTTTATTTTAGAAGATGTTATATTGCTGAAGTTAGTTTTTGGTGTATTTAATATTGGGATATTTATAGAGCTTTTTATTACACATGATATAGCCAATATTTATAATAATTAAGGATAATTTTGTAAGGCAGAAACTTTGATTTCGTAGAAACTGTAATTTATTTAGGTTCCTATTACTTACGGTGTTATAAATAGGTGAAGCATATAGTGGTCGGATCATTGCTTTATAAATATACAGTTTTTCCCTTTAATGAGAATTTTAAATTTATACCAATATATACGGTTTGAGAAATCTGAAGATGGAGTGATTATTTTATTGCTGTATACACATTTCTAAGCAAAAACTCATCTCTGTGTGGTTCTGACGCCATATTGAAACGGGTAAGCAAGAAGGTTTTCTGATTATGACACGTGATAAGAACTCGGTCGGCTATTGGACGAACGCGCGCGTCGCGGGCGAAAAAGCTGAACAGGAGCGTACTCAGTTTACGTCTTCTGCGTCATGCGAATTTACGCCGGCGTCAAAAAAGTTGCGTCAACTACGTCGGGAGCGTCCTCGTGTGGACGGGCCTTTACGCGTCTTTAGATGTGGTAATTCCATTAGTTAGCCGGTAAATCCATTAGTTAAGCTCTCTCCCTTGTAGGGTTTTCCCAAAGAACTGGTTTTCGTGCAAGACAAGGAATCAGATAAATTGAAAATTAGAGAGTATGGTTTTTCGACGCTCTTTTCAATGTAGCTAGTAGATGAGATGGGTGTTTAAATCGCAAAGCTGGGCCAGAGAAGAGTACTACGAATGCGACATTGCTAAAAGTTGTCTGTCTAAATTTTCAAGAACTCTGTCTTAAATACGTGTATCTCATTTGCCGCCTAGTTAGAACTAACGAAAAAGGAAGTAAGATTACAGTTGAAAATCATAAGAAAATGGATTGACTGGAAACACTCTAACTTATTTATAAGGTATGTTAAGTCATTAACATGACATACTTTACAAATAGGAAGTCAGACTCCACAAAGTCACAAACTGTTGAAACATGGTTAGCATCAGATCACTCCAAAATTCAGCAAAATTTCACATATTTTAACCTTCCGGAATTAAAAAATTTTGAATTTGTTAGATTCTGGTACTGTATACGATGTAATTTATCAACTGAAGTATAATTGAATGCAGATTTTGTATGATTGTTTCTTATAATGATTATTTGAATGCTTTCTTATTTTAAATTTATAAATTCCCTTGTCATGATATTCTGTTACAGTTCACTTCAAGATAATACACCATGACTACTGCCATAATTCCAGTACTTGCTGCCATGTACTTGGGAAGTACTTTTAATCTGGTAAAATATCAGAAAGGCAATGCAGACGTCTTCGATCAGAGTACTTTGGAAGGAAATTTACAGGTAAACGCAAGTTTCTAAATATACTGACAAAAAATATCTGTAATGTTACTAAGAAAACTCGTGGCATCTGGAAATGACTATTTGAATAATAAGAACATAATAGAACATTTGAATAATCATGAGAGGGATATTCTTAGTAACTTTGCAGGTATTCTATCTGCAAAGAATACAGATGTTTTATTGTAATATTACAAAATAGTAATTGTGTAAGCAGAACATAATGTTTTTCATATGTGGGGATTCAAAGGATGTAGGCCCACCAGCGGCCGAGCGGTAAAGTCGCTGAACACTGGTAGTTCGGTCCGAAGTTTGAATCCCACGAACGGGCTGGCTGCATGGGCGTTTTCGTGGTTTTCCCATGTGTAACGTGCATATGAGCCAGTTTCCTTTAGAAAGTCCTCCACGAAGGCATCCATTTCATAAGGCAGGTAGCCTTCGAGGCTTTGCCGGACTCACATAAACCAAACCAAACAAAGGATGCATCCATTGAGGTTACAGGTATTTGATCTATGGAGTTACTTCGAAATAAGGAAAAAGGAAATTAAAATCTAAAGTAAATAAATAAAATAGAGTACAGTTACCAATGACGCGAGGTATTTCAGGTGTTCCCCATGGGATCGATGAAATTAACGGAGAATCAAAGATGATCAAAGGTCCGAAAGCCGAATATGCACCGGCAGTTGAACAAGGTATCACTGTTAATCAATAAAATTGATAGTTAATTATTTGTGATATCATGTATAGTGAGGAAGAAATTATATAAAATAAATTTAAGGTTAAAAACACAATAAAATTCTTTTATATGTTTTAAAAATCAATAATCTTTTTTTTAATATACAATTTTTTTAGAAAATAAGTGCAATATAAAAAAAATAAAACGCAAGAGCACATACCGAAATCAGCAGAACGAGTGCGCATTTACTATTACAGTCCATATGCACATATGTACTCAGGATTATATGATATTTTTTTATTTATTTACGGAAATAATGCTATGGGTTGGGTATGTGCCAGCATTAAAACCTGCTTGTATTTTCTAGAATATGAATTTTTTTGAGTAAGATCCCCTTTTTCAAAAAATTTATATTGATCAACACTTTTCACTACAACCAGCCTAGCAATGCTCGTCACTATCAACTTTAGAATCCATGATGAGTGCACTAAGTTGCTATTATTTAAAATAAAATACAAAATCAGCACAAAATTAGTAGCAAAATTCACACGAGATGTTTCCATCATAGCTTCCGACTTTCGTTTTTCTCGTTTTGTAACACCTAACTGGGTGTAAAAAAGTTACTTAACTTACTTACAATCATGGAGCTACGTACATTATGTGAGGTGAATTATTCCCACTAGAATTTCTAACTCTAAAAATGGAAACAGACATGGAAATAAAGTAACTCTATTCTACCTCACTGCTTGTGAGAGTTAAACTAAAAATGTACAACTCAAATTTACCAGTGATTTGGACCTGGCTTCACCCCCAGACTTCTTGAACTTGCTATAGTTTAATCCAAGCAATTTAATCCAATCCTACCGGAGGCTACAGGTCTCGCCTAGACCGCGACAGAAATTCAAATGCACAACTGAACAACCCAAAGCTATCTTCGCACTGCACTGTTTAAGATCACAATCGGAGTGGCTAGCAGAGAGCGAAGCGTTAAACCACGGAGTAGAAAATTTTTAATCCTTTCCTCCATGCTTTAAACGTCAAAACAGCGTCGGTGGGCAGACCAAAACTCTCATATGCAGCTATGCGCAATTTTTCTAACTCTATAGTAAAACTTCTTGCCACTCAGAGCTACGCGAATTCTGGAATGAGCGAATCTAGTAGCGAAATGATGAAAACAGGAAAGAGGTTGTTATTGTTGTTGAGTAATGCTCACTTGTCTGACCTACAGTCAGCCCAAGCCCACGATGACAGTGCGACTTAGCTCAGTTTCGCCCCAATTTTTATGGAGAGTACCTCGGGGGACGGATCCAATTCCACCCCATTTCTTATCATCAACCTCTCAAGAGGACTTTCGGCTCGCCGCATATTTAGAAAGCTCCCATGCCGTATGTACACTATACATTTACAAACACCCAAGCCTTCCCTGGAATTCAAATTCAGCGCAGCAGTTAGTGACGCCAATTACTATACTGGCTGGGCGGCAGGGAAGATGTAAATTAAGTAACATTTTATTATTCTAACTTAAACATAAATGCCGCAAACTATATTTATTCTTAATTACATCAAAGACTTTGGAACCACCATATATTTCATTATAACTAGGGATCATTTCACTAATTTCTTTGGAAGGTTCGTATGTTAAACTAACCAGTTATTATGATTTTGATCTTTACTTTAACTGCTTTATTCCGTATTCCTCGCCAGAATGCAAACTAGCTTTAAGATTATTAAGCTGATGACTTTTGCAGATTAGTCAAACCCATCAACGGTGAAATTCTTAAGTTACCTAACAAATTCTGCACAAATCGTGACTATCATCTAAACCAGTGGTCGGCAAAGTGCGGCTCCAGAGCCACATGTGGCTCTGGTACAAAGGCGAAATAATATTTTCATTAAAAAAAAACTTGGTAAGAAAAAAATTACATTAAATTAAAATTCTTCTATAAATCGAGAACATGTATAAGTTTTTGTTTGAGTAAAAAGATAGATAAGTAATTAAAATTTTATATTGTTGTAAAAATACGTAACGAACATCAAGTTTAACCACTTGCGCTACGACTAAACTTCACGGTTGCGGTGCCGTGCGCTACAAACAAGCGGTAAAGTGTCTCATTTACGCCGCTTCGCGTCTGCGAGTGCAATCCAGAGCTGTAACTCGAGAAATAAACAATCTCGTTGTTAGGCGACGTGTGTACCACGTTATTTTCATTTTTGCAATAAATGCCTATCGACGTGGTGTTCACGTCGCTCGCGGTTTGAGACAAAAGCATCTCGACGTAGCACGTCTTTTTAGCGCAAGTGTTTAATTTTATTAGTTTTCGTAAACGTAAACATAAACCATGTACAAGCTACCGGCATGCGCGTGCGTGCTTTTTATAAAGTAGTGAAGGTGTAAATTGGCATCACAGAGCAGCAGTTGCAGTGTGAACAGTTTTGTCTTATCTGCCGTGTCTGCCGTTGTTTTTTAATCTAACTGCACATCTTACAGGTATTTTTATACGATTTTATTACACCTGCTGTAAATGTTTGTGGTTCCGGTACAAAATTTGTAATCGATTTTTCGATAACTTCTATTTGTCCAAATGTTGGAAGTTTTCTTCCATTTTTGGTCATATTAAAAGTTTTGTTATTCTGATGATGGAAAAAATTATTTTTTCTCTTTAGTGCAGTTACACATATTAATAAAATTGTATTTTTTAAATTTTTATTTTCATCAATTTAATAATGATAATAATTTTGTACTGGTGGCATTAGAAAAAAAATATATTTGGAATATTTTTATAGGCACCCCAATTAACACGGCTACCAAAAAAAAAAAAAAAAAAAAAAAAAAAAAAAAAAAGGCAAAGAAAAAACGGAAGATAAAAACCGCGAATTTAAAGTTGAGTGGACCAAAAATTTTGCGTTTATTCAAAACTTGAATGGACTTCCGACATGCGTTATTTGTAAGGAGAAATTCGCGCATAACAGGAAGTCAAATTTAGAGAGACACTTTACAGGAAAGCACGCGTCATTTAGCACTAAGTGTCCTACCGGTGATGCTAGGAAGAAAACAGTTGAGGAACTTCAGAAGAGTCAAGAGTCGTCAACTTCTGTGTTTAATAACTGAATGTAATCTTCCAGTAATATTAATATGGCAAGTTTTGTTTGTAGCCAAGAGATTGTTAAGAGAGGAAAACCGTACACAGACGACGAATACATAAAAAATTGTTTTGTAAATGCATCCGAAGAGCTATTTCGGGATTTTAACAACAAAGATATTCTGAAAAGAATTAAAGAGTTACCATTGTCTGGCAAAACCATTAAAGATAGAACAATTAAAATGTTTTCGAATATAACCACCCAGCATATCGAAAATCTGAAATTGGCTTCGGCTTTATTAATAGCAGTTGACAAGTCTTGTAACATATTAAATGATACAGCGCAAGTTTCACTTTTTGTAAGATTTATGTCTCATTCAGGTCCTAAAGAAGCATTTTTAGGATTATTGCCACTCAAAGGTCAGACGCGTGGAGAAGATATCGCCAATGCTGTAATTGTGTGTATGGATTCCCCTCGATAAAATTGTGTCGATTTCAACAGATGCGGCCAAATGTATGACCGGCGTAAGAAAAGGGTTTGTTGCTATTTTGAAAGAAAAATTAATCACGAGATACTTGTTTACTATTGTATCATTCACCTAGAAGCGCTTTGTGCGCAAACATTTCCGGAAGAAATTTGTAAAGTTATGGAATTAGCGATTACCATTATCAACTCCATTTTAGCTAAAGCTCTTAATCATCGCCAATTCAAAGAATTTTTATTTGAAATGGAGAGCGAGTACGCTGATCTTCTGCTTCATTGGTTATCAAGAGGGAATGTTTTAAAACGTTTCGCGTCCCTTTTCCCGGAAATTAAAGCATTTCTTCTTGAGAAGGGAGTTCACTATCTAGAACTAACAGACGATCAGTGGATCCAAAACTTTTATTTCATGGTAGACGTTACGTCTCATCTAAATCAGCTTAATCGTAAACTACAAGGGAAAGGAAACTTAATTTTTTTTTTATGTTAGAAGAAGTAATAACATTCGAAAACAAATTATCCATTTTTGCATAGAATTTTGAAAGGGAAACATTGTTTCACTTTCCGAGCCTGCTGAAGCATCGCCAAGAAAATAATTTTTCTATTGATAAACACTATTTTAGAACAATAATTTTAAATATGAGGGAAGCATTTCTCAGCAAGTTTCAAGAATTTAAAAACAGCAGAGCAACTTTATTAGTTGTCAAAAATCCTCTTAATGCTACGATAACCGAGTTGAAGTTTTCTTCTTTTGAAATTCACATTGGTAGCTTTGAAATACAATTGCTGGATTTAAAAAATGAGGAGATATGGCGCTCTAAATTCGAACGTCTTTGTGTTGAATTGGAAATATTAGAAAAGAAAAAATGTTATCTTAGTTCACAACACAAGTGGTCTGCTTTGAATGACCTTGGAGAAGGAAGACATGATCATTTTCAAACGATTAGTATAGTATTCCTGACTCTTCTACGATCAGCTGAAAAAGCTCGCGTTTGCTGTTCTTTCTCCTTTTCGATTCTACATATGTATGCGAACAATCTTTTTCAAGCATGAACATTATGAAGAGTAAACTGAGAAGTCTTATTGATGAGAACTTGGAATCATGCTTAAAATTAAGAACAACAAAATACAAACCTGACTTACTCAAACTTTCCAAGGAGATGCAAGCACATTGTTCACATTAATAAATATTTATTAAGTATTAAATTTAGTTTTATTTAGTGTAATAAAAGTTTACTAAACAAGGATATTTGACTCCCAATTTTTTTTAAATTGTTGTAATGTTCATATTTGGCTCTTTGGCTAATGAGTTTGCCCACCACTGTTCTAAACGATACTGTTGAAAACATCGGTGGGTACGATCCCACTAATGAAGAAGCGTACAAGAAACCAAGAGCAATTCACTACAATCCAAATTGGTAACTACTGATATCTCTGCATGCATCATTTTTTTTTCTCTGTACATATTTACTTATTTTATTTATTATCTATCCGGTAAAGCAGGTTTTTTTGGACATTGCTTTCACCTGATTAAGCAGGTATAGACTTAGTTACTGTCAATTAGAGTGATACAGAGATGACAGCGAAATGGCTTAGCCAAAACAAACATGAATTAGAAGTACAGTTCGTACCCAGCCTGAATCTTAAAATTACTCGGGACTTGTAAATATTATTCTCATTTTATCATTCTATGTTACGTCATATGTGTAATTGCAACATCTTCAAGTGAAAATGCTATCGAATATTGCTTTAAGAAATAGAACAGTTCAGCTTCAATTGTACGTAAAAGTTTTTCTAGCACGCAGTGCGCAGGTTCTCCATTATTTGGATTTTTGCCGTTACTTATGCATTGGAGTTAAGATAAAAACGTGGTAGTAAAGGCCGTAAGGTCTTAAACTAAAGTGAAGATCCAAGATTTTAGTCAGAAAGAGGGATTTTCTGGCACTCTTGTAGGGTTAGAATTTTGCCAGCTGTATATAAATTTAATTAGACCGACTTTTGCCTTCTGTTGCAACTGATTGCTTTAAACTTGAGCATTGCAAACTTGAGCTAGCTCTAGTAATTGCCTGTGTAATCTTAGACTATTGATCAACGTTTAAATTGTAGCCTGTAGCACGAGGCGTGCCCTATATGTCAAGAGCTGAAATAAATAAAAATGCTGTTTAATTGCCCAGCCGGTATAATGATTAGTGACCCTGATTGCCGTATCTATGGGCCCGGGTTCGAATCCCGAAGAAGGCATGGTTTTAACTGTCCGTCTTTGGGACAGTTATGTTATGTTATGTTATGCAGAAGTGAGGGGGCCACCTAATATTTACCCTAAGTAAGTAGGTATTAGCCCCACACACTAACTAGAAAACTAACAATATTCTGGCATCATTTCCTCGAGTCGTGATGGAAATTGTGACTCCAGTGAGCACTACAAGTACTGCCACCGGCGGCGGCATCAACGGTACTCCTACCTTTCAGTGTTAAATTAGGTCAAGTAAAAGGGATTAAATTACATGATATACATTGCGAATTGCAACCGTGCCTCCTTTAAGAATACTGTGCCAACGGTGGCCACCTATTAAGCATGCTTCCATAATGAAATGGCCACCACTTACGGCCCTTGTATACTATTGCAGACACAGCGATAAATCGCTACTTGTCTAATAGGGTTGAAGGACTCGCATTTCAAATTAAAATCGGTTATAAATCTGTATCTTGTTTTCATTTAATAAAAGCAAAAACTATTAAGGAAAAAAAAAGGCAAACATTGCTTATTTTTTTAGTTTTCAAGTTTATTTTTCTTCTTTTTTCTGTAAGCCAGTTCTTTGCTCTGTATTAGGCTTAAAACCATTCAATCTCTTTTTTTTCCCTTAGGTAATAGACAGGAGTTTCACGCGATCTCAGTACAAATTAGTTGAAACTTCCACTCAAGCAAGAGAATTCTTGGACGTCAGCGGTGCTCTTTCGTTGAGAATTAAAAAAGGAGATATATCTGTTGATGGTACGGGTGCATACTTAAAAGACATAGCGGATCGACAAAAATTCGTTGAACTTCTCGTTAGAGTTCAACATGAAACGGTAAGTGAAATCTATTCACTTGCATTAATTTTTTAAAAAGAAATATTTAAAATTTTCGATTTCTCGCTTAAGTCTGATTTCTTTCAATTCTAGCATGCAATAAAAATTTAAAATTAAATTTTAGTTATATTTTGAACGTTTTCCGGCATATGTTTGCAATCAACGCAAAAGCAACGAAAATCAATAACGCAATAAGCAATCATAAACGAAAGCAATCAGCAGCAAAAAGCGGTAATGAAATAATAACTGCAAAAAGTAATAATTTAGGTAAAGTCCTGTACAAATAAAGTCATAAATCAGTAAATTTTTCCCAGCGTCAACACTAAAATGAATGCTTTTTTAAAAATATTGCGTCTAGTTATTGAATTATTAGAGATGTTTATCAAAATATTATATTTTAAAAATCAAGAGAGAAGAAAATAAAACATCAGTAAACTAACGGATGAAACCCGCATCAAGCCTTAAGACTAAAAAATGAAATTAGGCACAGCAGTTATCGATTTCGAGGACAACAGTTACAAGTCCCTCTTCATCAGGAACAAATAAATTTGTGTTTGAAATCTGAAAATTCTTTTGAAGTCAATAGAATCTTGAATAAAATCTATGCCGAACACGAAGCTGTTGATTTGCCTAATTTTATATTATGCTATATTCTCTGCACTTTTTTCTCTCTCAGTAATCTGAGAATCTGCCTGGAAAAAAAAATAGTAAAATTAATTTCTAATTTTTTCCTAAAATGATACTTAAATGATACTTAAAATGATACTTAAACAGTATGCTCTCCCAGATTCCATCCATTTATTATTAGCATTGAAAAAAAAATCACTCGCTTAAAAAATTATCACATCAAATAGAAATTACCCAAAATGGACTTTGGTAACGCAGTAATAAGTTGCCTCCATGGGCAAGAAAAGAATTCCGTGCTTGAGTCATAGGCGAATGGGAACTTAGGTACGAGAGTCGATTGCACACAGTCGGGTTCGAAACCCAGAGAATTCATGAAGGTTTGTAAATGTGTGGTTACAGCATGAGGGCACTTAAAATAGCCAGATGTGTTAGGCTGGTGATAGAATAAAACGAATAAAAACCCTTCCTTTCTATCCTCCGCGTTCCTCCATCAAAATGAGATGGAGCTTTGCCTTTCTTGCAAGTTTAATTCCTTCGACCCTTGGGGAACTCTTGGTAATATTCTTGGTTATAGGACGACTAAATAACAGAAAGGAATCTGCCCTTGGGAAAAAATGCGTGAAATTACAAGTAGCAACAAAATTTTTATTGTAATTTTGTAACATTTTAAATATTATATATATAAAAAAAGAATTTCGTTACTTATGAATAACCGAAATTATTAAAAATTAAATGAATTCATTTCCTTCTAACAATACATTTTTCCTTTCGTGATTTACATATTTTTCTTCTTTTCCTGTCAAAGCTTGATATCTTTCACTGATATCTAAAATTATCGAAAGGTATACTCGTATTTTAATCAAATACATTATCCTTTCATTATTTACTCTTAATTTATGATCGCTTCTATGTTGCCTTGGTTAAGTTACATTACATTTTAATTGATTTCGCTTCTATATTCTTTTATCTTTTTGACAAAATTATAAATGTATCTAACTGGAAAGAAAATATTTAATAAATAAAGCCACCATAACTTCTGAATTTAAGTAGCAGTTCTCAAAACGAATATCTAATTTCGCTTTTTTTTGAACTGGAGGAGGTTAAAAATGACAACTGAATTTAAGTAATAGTTCACAAAACGAATCTCCAATTTCCCTTTTGTTCCAACTGGAGAAGGTTAAGAATGACTGCTGAATTTAAGTAGCAGCTCTTAAAATGAATCTCGAATTTTATTTTCCCTCGAACCAGAGGAGATTCAGAATAGCTGAGGAATATAAGTAATAGCTTATAAAACGAATCTCTAATTTCACGTTTGTTCGAACTAGAAGGTTTAGAATGACTGCTTAATTTATATAGTGGCTCACAAAACCAGTCTCTAGTCTCACTTTTTTTTAAGCTAGAGGAGATTAAGAATGCTACTGTAATGTCCACGAATATTTTTTCAGAGTAAGTTGCGCCAGTATTAGAAGTAATCGATTGGTTGGAATTATTTAACAAAAAAACGAGAAAGATGGGTGAGAAAGGAGAATAGATAAATTTGTAGAGACCTTTTTAAGGTAAACTGGTATAATATTCACTCTACACATGGATAAAATCATGAAAATCCCATGCAGCCTGTCCTTTTTCAGGGATTTCAAGCCGCGTTGACCTACTAGTGTTCAGTCCATTAACCACCAGTGTTACCGCTCCGGTATGGTCGGATTTTATTACAATTAATGAAGCCTGAAAGATCAGGTAGCATTAGTAAGTAAATAGAATCACATAAGTTATTGTTACTTTTTTTACAGGTGACGGAGACTATTCCTTCTCATTTGAAACCGAAACTGGATTGGATGTCAATGCCTCCTGAAAGCGTAGGCACACATTACGTGAGAAGTATCACCTATGGTGGTGAACTGATTGCTTCTCTCAGACTCAAAGCAAACAACAAAGAAGAAAGAGAAATGATTAAAGCAGCCGTCAGCGCTAATCTGCAGCTAACTGGAACATTTGATCTTAATGCTAATGGTAAACAGAAATTTAAATAATGATTTAATTACTTTACAATTCAAACGTTTATTAGTATTGTTCATCTCTGAATGACTTCTGCAAATCGCATCAATATTACTATTCCCATATGTAACAAGCTCAAGGTATGCTGCCATTTTCAAAAGTTCATAAATGCTGAGGTCTAAACAAGGGTTATCCCTGTTTTCCGTGTGAAATATCACTCTGTATGACATAAATCTGTGCCTTATTGAGATTTAAGCTGCAGAAAAGGAAGGATTTAGTTTGTTTTTAATGAGAACCTTTAAAGACATTAACTAAATCAGTTATTTTCAGTAACTTTGCTATACGGTAGGCACTGCTCAATATGATCACGTTTATCTACGACTTTGTGATAACAATAACGGAGTGATAACATTAACGACAAAAAATACCATTTAAATACTCGTAATAAAGGAAGTTACAATGCAATGGAGATTATAAGCAATGGGTTACTAATTTAATATAAATATAAATAGAAAAATATGAATAGGTATTTTCACATCTATTTAACTAAGAAAAGGCAAAAGATTTGTTTATGAACTATTCACAATGTTTTTAATGCAAAAATTCATTAAAGAACTGTTCGTAATGTTTCTAGAAATTATATTAGCGATGTTGTAATCCTAATATTAATACTCAGAGAGCATCGCTCATTGAAACAAAACATGTCAAATTAAAACTAATAATTAGGGAAAAAACTTTAACCGAGGATTTTATGTTTTCTCTCCTCCCAGAAATAAGGAGAAGAGGCAACACATATTCTGCAGAAATTCTTTTTGTTCCTGAAGAAAAGGAACTTGTGTCTAATCGTCTGCAAAATCGATAGAGTTGTTCAGAATCTATGCCAAACTAAAGTTGGCTTTTTTTTTTTTTTACTTAATTTTAAATGGTTCATTGGAAACAAAACCAAGCTGTTTTTTGGTTTAATTTCTTACTTGAGAACATTTCTTTGTCGCTTGGCAACTTTTTATTACCTATTTGGACCTTACTTGATAACTTAACTTCAGTTTAAAAAAAAATATTCTGTAATATTTGATCACACTAACCGCTTTATTGATCACAATAAGCAGAGTATTTTCCCTGTTTTCGCATGCAAACATGCTGTACTGCCGCAATTCAATAAAACTATCTGAATGATAACATTAACCGGGATCACATTAAGCGGCGTCTACTGTATTTCTCTACTACCGACTTTTTTTAAATAACCTCAAGTCAGGCGTTGTTTCTCTTTATTATGCGAATTTATTGGCTTAGCAAAATAGAAATTAAATTATTAGTATTTCACTTTCTGGAAATGTTTGTTGCCAGCCTCTTGTGCAAGCGATCCAGAGGAAGAAATTACACAAAAGTACCACTTCAAACGACTAAGAATTTTCTGTGCTAAATAAGCACAAAATTCTTCACCTGACGTAAATTTATGATAGGATAATATTATTTCAAGTTCCGCGTCCTAATATTTTGACACTACTATTCTGAATAGTTCGCTTTAAGTATTTAATATTATATTCGAATTTCTGGAAATTTACTAGAAAGCCTATCGTAATTGATTAAATTAAAACTGTTTCTAATATTACATTGGAATCCGAATGCGAAGAATACTCTGCGTTTATTCTTCTAATTGCGATATGCGATAAATTAAATATTACCAAACTGTCTTCATCTGATAATTGTGTTTATTTCTTCCACCTTCAAATCTATCAAATAGGTGTTATAGGCAATATTTATATTGGTTTTCCTTAAAACCTTAGATTTTAGATTTCAAGGTCGGTACCTTTAGGAAGTTCATTCATTTAGGTCTGTCACTGATCTACGAAGCAATCGTGTTAATTGCAGTGTTTTTTAAAATTATTACCTCTTGATTCTTTGTTATGTTAAACAGACATGTTCGTTTCGTTGCATTACACTCATAATAACATTGGGTTCAAAATCAGTTTTTCACTAGAGCCTTTTATTTATTGTGATGTATTTTATGAAGAAAACGTTTAAAACACAACAAACTTGATAGAGCCGCCCAAACGGTATAGTGGTTAGGGAAGCCTACTCCGGTGCCGAAGGGCCCGGGTTCGAGTCCCAGAGAAGGCATGGATGTTTGTAAATGTATAGTATCTTTGCGGCATGGGGACACTCTACATTACGAAGAGCCGAAAGTCCTTCCGAGAGGTTGTTGGTAGATGAAGAGGAGAGGGAGAATCTCGGACACGTCCCCCCTGGGTGCTTTTTATCAAAATTGGGAGGAGAACTGACCGAGGTCGTATTGTTGTTACCTGTATGATGCTCAAGGCTCTTGCCAACGACAATTGCAATCTTCCTCTCCTTCCGAAGCAGATAATACCACAAACAAATAAATGAAATATTCTTTAGAGCAGCGATTCACAACCTATTTTCCTTCGCGTACCCCTTAACGAAACTTAATTATTTCACGTAATCCTTAAAAAAGACAGCCAGGTTCTTTCTTCCGTGAGACAAACAATAATTATAGAGAATCTCTAACTTCTCCCCTAAGATCCTCTAACCCTCTTTCACTATTCTGGCATCATTAGTTCATGGTATCTTCAGTGCTTTTATTTTAATACCATGAAACTAATGACTTCATTGAATACATTACTTTTAAGCACATTTCGGAATCGCGTTGAATACATTCCCATCCGAATTGATTTTATATTTTCTAATCAAGTTATAAGGTATTTCTCCCGCCTTCCTAGCGTGCCTTCGTGGTGTAGTGGTTCTGCACGCTGGGCCGGTGTTCCAGAGGACCGTGGTTCGATTCCAGGCGAAGGCGATTGCTCATTTTTCATCTTGCCTGCATCCAAAAAATAATGTCTTTACAAAGTAAAAACTTAGTTTTCTAAATATTGTGATTTTTATGAGTCTTTATATAACAATTTCCTATATTCTGCCATTACTGATACTTTTTTGTGTATCCCTCACGTCGATCCCGTACGATCCCGTACGTCGGCTCCCAGGGCTATGCTTACCACAAGTTGAGAGTTGCTGCTTTAGAGTTTAAATTTAAGAAACCAGTGTAACTCGAGTTTTGTTGCATTATAAAATTCAAGTATGGTTATATCTACCTTTTTCATATTATAAACTGGGTGTTTCAAACTCAAGCCGAGCATTGGCCGAATGTACGACCTAAAAGTAGTTAATAAGCCGAAATGAAAAAAAAATTAACAATATAAAAGTTTTTAATCAAAATTTAAAAAGAAATATACTACATAGTTATCAAATCCCACATAAACAGTAATAATAATGAAGCAAAGAAAAATTAAAATTTAAGCTTCTTAACAATATGAAATCCAAACGTTTATCAGCAAAAAAAATTTGTTGGTTATAATTTATAATTCAAACGTATTGACAGCTAAATATTAAACTTTCAGCTTGTCATTTATTAAAATAGCTCTAGTACATTGAAGTAAGCACTAAATAACTTACTTACATTAATAATAAACAAATTACTAAAACGTCCTAAAATGGATAAAACTTGAAAACAAATAAGCAACATATTCTTTGTGTTTTATTTATTACATTTTGCATGACGCATATATATATATATATATATATATATATATATATATTGGAATAATTATAAACATATTTATTTCTCACTACAGTTTTCATGGCATTTCTATTTTGATAATGTTTGCAACCTTGGAGAAAAATTACTGTTAAGTATCTTCATCACAAACTGCAGATACTCATCGGAAATTTGGTGCATTTCTTAGACATACGAATTTTCAAATACGGAAAAAAGCTGTTCCCATTTAAATATATTCCCAAACAACGCGATTATTCTTATCAAAAAAATTCGTAACTACGGGTATTGATCTTTTGATAAGTACTATTAAAAGTTAATCAACTTTGTATCTTCAGATCTTTGAATAAGTTTTATATCACAGTGTAAATTAATAAGCTCCGTTTGTAAATTTTTCAGGCGTGACTCCACGTTCGTTTTTGGTAATGGAAATAATGTAAAACTGGACTCCACACCATTAAATTCTTAAAATTTACCTTCAAATTGTTGTAATAATGCTAATTATTTTCCAGGAAATTTGTTCGCGGACCATAAAAAATTGCCTCTAAGGTCGTCAGTTTGAGAGCACTGATATAAACTACAATAACTGTCAATTATTGCCATTAATATTTTCATTTTTATTTTGCATCATAACATTTATAGAGTAGAATTTTAAACATGTTTAGAATTAGAAACATATTAAAGAAATAAATAACTGAAACAATGCAATAGTGCATGATATTGTTAAGAATAATATAGAGCGTGCACACAGATGATAGCTTGATGACATTTATTTTTCCAAAAACACTTTACATAAATGGAACTTTTCCCACAAAGGCCACTGTAGAGCTCTTCTCAGTATGACAAAGCACAATCAGTAGTTACCACTTAACTACCAAGAACGGTTAACCCAAGGCAATACAAATAGCCTCAAATGCATTAGCTTCCGCAGTGATCTCTCAATACTCTGAACTGGGGAAACTGAGGCTCTCTCTCCAGTCTTACATAGCTTTTCCCTGCCCGTCGAGAAATTCCCAGTGCCTTCGATTTCTCGAAATTGCTAGAAGATATGCGTAGTTAAAAATTCATAAGGCCGAATACAGCTACAGTTACGTAAAGATCAGACCAAAATGTCTCCCAATAGTCGTCAAACTAGGCGACTTTGGGCGATTTCTCGCCAAATTTGGCTACACAAATTAGTCGTCAAAACCATGGCCAGCTTGCAAACTGGCGAGAGAGCCTCAGTGCATTTACCCCTGTTTTCCGGCCATGTCTCACATCCTGAGGCCTTTCATGTTACTTAACACAAGAAATATTACAATTTACGAATAATTTCACTAGAATTTTTTACATGAATGCAAAATTCGTAACAATATCTTTCTGAAAAAGGAAGCTTTGACAAACTGAGAAAAGATCTGGCTGGCATGTACAACGAAGAGATTAAAGTCATGGCAACGAAGAGCCCATCAAGCCCTCCTCAGACTGTCGAAGAATTAATGAAACTGGTAGAAGATTATCCCAAGGAAATAAAAACGATAAATAAAGGCAAAGGCAAAGCTCTCAAAGCTGAATTGTATCCCCTCTCTTCTCTGAAATCAGACTTTCCTAATTACCTACCGAACAGGTACGTAGTTTGTTTATAATACGATATCATATTAAAAAGAATTTATAATTACCTTCATTTTATGTGATGAACTGAATATTTTCAGTGCCATTAACGCTCTTTTGAATGATGTGGAGACAAAATATGACGATATACGAATAGTAATGCATGAAATAATTCCGTGGAATAATAACAGATTGGATTCTACCGAAGAAGAAGATGAGATGGTACGTCCTTTTTTATTCAAATGAAGGCAGTATTTTATATGGAAGTTGTTTTTATTTAATCTTTATTATATCAATTAATTCAGATTGTTGCTGCAATCAAACTCTAACTAAAATTTAATGAAAGAGTGCGTTGTTGATCTGGCTCCTGTATTTTAATGAAGCAATATGAACAGCATTAAGTATAAAAATGTAATTCATTCCACATATAGAAAATTCGTGTCGAGAGGCATATAATCATTTCGTACCGCACCACCCGCATAAGGGAAATCCATTTTCATTATTGGATATGGCTTCCGATGACATCGTTTTCTCTACTCTCAGGAAAGCCTTGTCATTGTTCGGGCTCAAGAGAGCACCTCCTCGTTTGTTTACGTTTTAAGAGCAGTACCGAAAGGATTATTACTGTTAATTATGTGCGTTGTATTTTTGTTGCAATGAGATTATACTTCTTACGGCACTGTAGTGTGGTGAATTTAATATTAAAAATGCAGAGATTTTTTTTTTTTTCTATAGAGAAAAAATATTATTTCTACCAGTATGCGAACTCCGTAAATGGATATTCATACTGGGTGCAGAGGTCTTTAATAAATGTATTCTTAACTAATACCATTCATATTGAATGTGTTGTGATTATTAATTCATTGTTTTATTTCCATTATATATGCATTCTCTGCAGATGCAATCTTCGAAAGCATGAGACGAGTCAGTTTTCCCAAATAGTAAAAACGATGGGAGCTAATATAATAGACTGTAAATTCACAATATTTGTAGTCGCTCTGAAAACGCAAAATTTATTTTTGAAGTTAAGCTACTGTAGTTCTGAAACAGAGATACTTATGTTTAAATTGAATAATATTACTTTATGAATATTGCCCATTTTTAATGTCTAACGTCTTTTGTATCTTTGTATAAAAATAGTGTTCAGAGAAGGAAGTTGTTTTTTAAAACATGTGTATTAAATTAAGCGAAAATACCGAATGCATTTTTTCTTCTATTTAAGAGAACAGACTATTATAAGCGTAAAACGCATGGACAGTAACATGAAACTAACACATTGAGTTGTGAAGAAATTATTTTCAGCAGTGTCGAAAAGGAATGCAACAAAATTGTAATAATAATATACTTACAAGCACACAATTCTTTTACAGGTGGGTTAAGTTCGTCGTGTAATCAAATGCGTTTCTGTGTTGCACTAAATTCATGAACTCAACTATTTTTACAGGGTTTCTCAGAAGGTCGTTGCCACACTTAGTTTATTAGTATGACCTTTGAGGAATTTGATTAAGGATGAGTGGCTTTAGGAATAAAAGTTTAATAAACCTAAGAATCTGTCTAGCTGTGTGAGGGTCTGCTGTTGAGGAAAGTCTAGGATACATTTTACCCGATCAAGAAAGGGTTCAATTCCTTCACCCGATAACTTAAATCCTAAGAAGTCTATGGCAGATTGACCAAACTGTCATTTCTATACATTTATACACAAACTATATTCCTGAAGTTCAGAAAATATCAGGTTTAAATGCTCTAAATGTTTATATTCATTGTTAGAAGCTACAAGATAATCGTCAATAAATGCGTAAACAAACGTCAAGTCCCTAATGACCTCATCGATACACGATGAAAAGCTAAGGAAGCCTTACAAAGACCAAACTGCATTTGTTTACCATTCAGTTCTGAGGTAAAATCAGCTATGCACGGAATGGAATACTTTTCTTTGATCGTCTGCGCAAGAGAACGATAGTTGCCAACATGTCTCCATTCAACAGCCCCTTTCTTGGGCACCATGTGCAAAAGCGAAGAATAGGGCTTTTTAAAGGTCTCATATGACCGAGCTGAATTATGCGTTTAAAATCACCTTTAGCAATTATAAGGCGGTCAGGAGCTAGCCGTCTAGGTTTAGCAGCAACTGAGGGATCTTTAGTATTTATGTAATATCCAGTATTGCGTTTCGCAGGTTGATTGGGATCGGGTAATATAGTAATATCAGGATATTGTAACAATAATTTACCAAATACATTATTCACACAAGCTGATTTTATAGAAAAAATATTAAAGGTATTTAATTTTTCAGCCACTTTAAAATTTGTTGTTAGATAAATCAGACGCTTATTGCGTAAATCAGGAGATAAACTGAAGAAATGCAAAAAATCTGCACCTATGATCATGTAACAGTATAAATACAAAACGAGACAGTAGAATTGAGACTTAAAATTGACAGCTATTGTTTTACGACCATAAACATTAATGGATGTTCCATTGGCGGCACGAAAAGTTTGAAGTACTGGTTCCTTCAGTTCAGATTAATTGGCGACAATTTAACTAGTATCACTTCCTGAATCTGTTGGAAAGTTTTCAGTCAGAAATATTGGTACGAGATAAACTCCTGGAACGAAAGTTTGGAAACTTCCTTCCAAAGTGCTTTGATTTCCTCACTGAATAGAGCTTGAGAGGAAGGGCTGGCATTTTTCGGAGAAGAGTCGTTGTTAAGGACGGTAGCGAAAATGTTTGTGTTGTTTATAGCCAAAATTCAATCAGCTACTTCCTCCGATTTTTTTATTCCGAAGTAATAGAAGATAGGGATGTAATATAGTTTGGACAGGACCAGGTATTTCCATTAAATAGTATTTCAAATAAGAGTGAGTCATAGGTATTGTGATTCTCGGCTCGATGCTTCATAGTACGGAGGATTTCGCTGGGCTTCCGATCACCGATGCTTTTACCTGACAGCATCCGACGAATTTCCTGAAACTGATTCGGAACATCTTTCGATAATTTTTTATTTCAGGCAAGTGACCCGCGACATAGTAGTTGAATTTGGTCTTTTGCTCTGATATCGATTTAGGAGCTGTAAATTCGAACGTCGATTCCAACACGGGAAACTAAACAGATGTGTCTGCTTGAATAAAAAGTGGAATCACTACAGCAAAAGTTTTGGAGTCAGTCAATGTACAGGTGCAACACGCGCTAACAGGAAGAATCAAAAGCAAAAGTGTCCGTTACTCTGAAACAATTCAAGTCCGAAAGTCACCATTAAAAGGGTGACGTTGATTGATCTGATTCCATATTTTAATGCAGCAGCATGAAAGCAGCATTAAGTATAAATATGGTAATTTATTCCACATACAGAAACGAAATTCTAGCCGAGGGCATTGCACTAACCTTTCACTTTCTGCGGAAGCCTCCCGAAAGGCTATGAAGGGAGAGAGAAGTTGTGAAGTGATAACATACACGTGATAATTCGTTGCTGATTCGTTGATGCGGCACTTCTGTGGCTACTATGAAGAAAATGCTACAACAATAAAAACAGTAATAGATATTAAACAAAAGAAAATAAATTATAGAAAATATTAGGCTGTAAATTTCCTAAAAGTAAAATTTCCATGCAAACATGATCATCGTTAAGTTTCAAAGTATTTTTACGTCTTATTTTTTCATCTCTATAGGCGGAGCTGTGCTCAAGCTATATGTTTTAAAAAATGAGTCTATTCATTATTGTTTTGTTTTTATGGCAACATATATTAAACCGACAGACAGAGGAATTCAGTATTCCACAAACTGTAAACATGTAAAAATTCTACTAATGCAAATAAGAGCCTAAATCTTGTTTACGTATCGCTTGAAATATGGCTTAAGTGATTCCAGGTAATTATCGAACCAAGTCTAAAATTCAAGGTAAGATCTTTAATAATTATTAATTATTGAACTTTTCCCCAAATATTTTTTTCTGCGCGTATAGTCAACCATTAGAAAGATATAATACACATAAAGAACTAATATGATAGCTGAATATTTCTCAGCAAATCTTATGAAAATCTGCAATCCTTCATCAACTTCCTTGCACTGTGGTGTGATCTTTTTATTCATCTGCCTCATTATGTGTCACCTTTCCCAATACATTTAAGATCATTTCGTGACCATCTTGAAAGACTGGGAAGGAAACATACTTGTCTACATCCATCCAAACTTGCATCTTCTCTTCACTAATACTATTCTTCTTCGGACATGTAGCTAAATCCAAGTGGTTGCTGAACGTGTTTTAAAATCAAGAGAATATTCATTACTCTACTCATCATCTACGAACATGCTCATAGGCCACAATTTAAACCAATAGCGGCGTAAGTAATATTGCTTACATATTTCTAAGGAAGAGACAGGAAAAAAATCTGGCATCTTGCAACGGGATGCATAAAATGTAATCGGCAGTTCATCTTTATATTCAGGATAATTTCTTGGTCTATTGATTGGATAAGGCTTAATACACTGTGCGGCGGAAACGTAAAATAAATGTCTCCCACTTTTAAATTTTTAGATTATTAATCCAATCTATTACATAATAATTTTATCTCATAGGCTAAATTTTCGGATTTAAATTTAGATCTCGAAAAGTGGCGCTGTTTTGATACTGCCGGCTAGCTGGGTTCCGATTATGAAGAGATTTTACGTTATAGAAACATGGACGATTAGGACACAGAAATTGCCACTTCCTTTTTCGGAAAAATCTGTTGTACTTCATGAACTGCATGGAGCTGTTAATCAGCTTTACATAATTTCCACATAGCCATGAGACACACTTAAATGGACCGTAATTAAAGTATTCGACAGTGATGAGACAGGGTATATGAGAGAGAAAGGGCATATATTTGATAGTTCCATTTTATTTTATTAATCAATTCCCTCTATTTGTTTTATTTATTTAAAGGTGGAAGCACTCTATGCTGCTGTATCACAAGCCCAAGCTGCTTTTCACAAGGCTATCAATGAATTAGATGTGTCTATCAAGGGAAAAGTCGACCAATTTGAAGAAGCTTTTAAAGCATATGGAACAGGCAAAGAGAATGTTCCAAACAGGTTTCAGAGATGGTTCTGGAGACTCAGGCATAAAATTGTAAGTTTGCATGAATCTGGCTTTTTTTTTTTTTTTTTTTTTTATGAGCTTTTGAACGCATTGTGTTATAAATTTATAAATTTAAAAATCGGCACAAATTTTAAATTTCAACATAAGAACCTGGTTACTTAATTACACTGGAATTGTGTATTGTTCAGATCGGTATTGTAAATTTAAATAGGTAAGTAATATTTGAAAGTTTAAACATTCTTTACTGTCTATTCTCGTTTCCTACCTACTATTCCCTACTAGGATGAGTTTTTGGTATTGCGTTTTATGCAAATGTGTTAGAAGGAGTACTTAAGAGAAGTTCAACTTACTTCGATAGAGAGTGCTTAGGATTCCTTAGTGAGGCGCGTTTGCCTTCTGGCTACTTCGTTCTTGAATCGATTACGCTCGTAAGGGCCAGCTAGATTAGATATTTGGGTCTAGTTTCGAATAAGTCTATTTAGTTTAGCATTAGATGAGTTTCTTATTTTTTTATCCTGACTTAAATGCCCGAGTGAAGGCTTTCCTGTATGGTCGAGAAGGGACCATCTGTTATTATTTCTTTGAGTGAATAAAACGGTATTTTAACCCTTCTCGAGACCTTGTCGTAAATACTTGAACTAAGTGATAGTTTGCTGCTTAGTTCCCTAGGTTCTTCGACATTTTATCATAGACAAAGCACTGAGGAACAGTACAGTCTAAATAGAATAAAACGAGGCAAATTTTAAAAAATTATATAAAAAAGTTTTATGAAATATGCTTTTATTTAAAATTCATAAAATAATTTATGTACTAAAAGAGAAAACAGTTTATTATATCATTTAATGTGAACGAGATATTAAATAATTTTATTTACAAAATTCATCTACAATTTGATATCATGAATAAACATAGCAAGGGTGATTAAATAACGAAATCGAATAATCGAATTGCAGTGTCGTAGCCAATATATGTATTAACTCACCTAGGGGGGCCCATGCTTTTCTTATTCGTAATACAAAATTGTAAGTAAATTTTTAATCTATTTTTCCCATTGAACTCAATGATATTTATTTTTCTCCTTTTGGTCCAGTAATCATTCTATGAATTCTAAATAAAAGCTTATTTTATAAAAACATTTCTTTTTTTCATTTATTTTATTTACTTAACCTTTTACATAGACTATTTGGATTATTTAATTGAAGCAGACCATAAAAGGTCTCTCTTCCTGTAAGGATGAGAAAACAGTTATTGTAATAAAGACTGGTCCTTAGTAATAAAAAATATGATCTAATGTTCTCTTCTGTATGTATCTAGCTTCAGTTGAGAAAATCTTAGCTGCTATCGTGAAGTGATTCTCAGTAGGATAATTAGAGTTATTAAAGCTTAAAAAATTTTGCAGTAAGACTTATTAGGAGTTCTTGCTTTCCTCCCTGTGTGTCTTAGTGGTGTAATTGAAAGCATATTCGGCTAGCATTCGGGAGATCCGTTATGGCAAAGCACGTGAGAGCTAGCTCCCTAAGGGAGGATGCCTTCATGTAGAACTTTCTGAAGTAAATTAGTTCGTATACACATTACACGTAGGAAAAACCACGAAAACAAGCATGCAGTCAACCCGTTTGCCTGGCATCGAAATCTAGGTCGAGCCTCCAGGTTTCAGCTACTTTATCATTCTGCTGCTAATGATCCGTGAAGTCTGGATGTGGCTTTGTTAATTTTTGTTAATGAGAAGGAGATGGCTTTGTTAATTGTTTGCATTTCCTGCTCAGATAAATATCTAATTGATGTGCAGAGCAGACTTTTATAAAACTAATAATCTTTGAAAATATTTTCGAACTGCCACTACTTACATAGTACGTACTCATAATATTGTTGCGTGTGTACGGGTTCGTAATAGATTGAATGCACAGAAGTCTAATGATAGCTTGATAAAATTTAATTTATCAAAACAAGCACTTCAGAGTTCTGGAACTTTCCACAAAAGTTCTACTATAAATCTTCACAGTATCACAGAGTACAATCAGTAGTGGCACATCAAACTACTAAGAACGTTAAACAAAATGTAATGCAAAGAGCAGCTAAAGAGCGAAGCTAAACCAGAGATAGTTCTCGGAACTTAACGCTGAGCTAACAGCTACAACTGAGAGCAGATGCTCTTTTCGGCCTTATAATGGTTTTCATCCGGCCGCCAAGATATTTCTAGTACTTTTTGCTTCTCGAAATTAGTGGAAGGCAATATGAGGGTCGAATTACGTTTGCAATTATTATAGTGATCAATTCCATTATTCAATGATAATACCTATTATGGTAATACAGGGGCCGCCTAATGTTCACCAAGTTTGGTGACTTTTGGAGATTTCTCACCAAATTAATGAGATACCCATTTACTCATTGTTAAATAGACTTGTCCCTGTGTTCTTACTTTTTAGGTTCTTTCCTCTAGATTTTTCATGTTACATTACACAGAATGGTACAACAATTTCACATATAACTGCACTTAAATCATCTACTTATGTATAAAATTCGTAATAATATAGTAGATTTTGCTTTAATAAACGTGGCTAGTCCTTTTGTAAATCTTTTTATTATACTTAGCACAGTTTTTGAATGGGATGTTTTTAACATACACCTATATTTACTGAAGATTTCATTTATAAAAAGCTATTTGAAGAAGGCAGTAACAAATTTACTTAACAATTAGTAAGATTTCACGATTTTTCTAAATTCTTGCTTACAGATTGTTTAAATAATTTCATTTTAACGAAGTATTTTCTAATCTTTTCAAATCGGTTCTCATCTATGTAGCATCTGCATGATATAAAGGCTTCTTAGGAAAAATTTACAAGGAACTTTCTCTTCCTTTTCCACGTACTTTCGTGATGTAGTTGAAAGAACTTAAGCCTGATATTCGGGAAGCCTGGATTTCGACTCCAGCGACAGCTGGATTTTTCATGTTTTGTGGTTTGAAATAAACCTAATGACTCTACAGGTCGATTCAGAAACATGTAAGCTCGATATTTAGAAGGCGGCATTGATGAAGTA